CTGCTCCTCCTTCGTCTTCCTCCATTTCTCCAAACAGAGAAAGAGGCAAAGCTCCCAAAGACTTCGTCCGACCATGAGCTGATCCAGGCTGATCCTCCGTCCGTAGAGACGCGGTATCCTCGTCGCGCTTGCCGTCGTTAAAGATTCCGAACAGGTCCGAAGGGTTCAGAGCCTGAGGAAGGGTCGCTGCGTGTGATAATACGCCGCCGCCGGAGGAATTGATGAAATCACCCCAGTCATCGTCATCCAATTTGGAAGTCATGGCGGCCGTGGCGAGGAATTCGGAGATGACGGTTGCCGAATTCGGCGACGGAGGAGGATGCCCGAAGGTGATGAATTCCCCGAATCCTTCTTATTCGCCGTCTTCCGTCGTCGTCATCGTCGATCGCCATTTTCCATGGCTCCCTCGCTTTGCTCTGTTTTCTTTGTCGGCCTCCCTCCCTCTCTCTCTCACTCTTCCCGCGGCTCTGGTTTTGCGGGTATCGTGCTGCGTTTTCTGTTAGTGCGCACGTTAGGGGAAGTGCGCACATTGTTGCTTTTGAATGGGCCAGACCATTGTAAATTTTGTCCAATGGGCTTCAATGCTAGATCATCAGCCCACAAGATTTTGAAATCAAAACAAGCAAGTGCTTTCATCCTACTTGACCCCGCGATTTAGTCAAAGTTGTCACCGCTGAGATGAATGTGCAGCTGACGGCTTCAGTCACTCAAGAGGAGATTTATGACGTTGTCTTCAGCATCAGCAAAATCGAAGCTCCAGGGTGCGATGGCTTACAACAACATTTTACCAATGCGGTTCTTTCCTTCTTCATCGAGGCGGTTCTTTCCTGAAGTGGCCTGAAGTAAAACCTGTTGTCACCGAGGCGGTTCTTTCCATCTTCAGCATTGGCCGCCTCCTCCACAACATCAATCATACGTGGCTGGCCCTCATTCCTAAGTTGCCCAATGCGGATTCCATGCGCCAGATGCGGCCAATCCGTCTTTGCCAGGTTTTGTATAAGATTATCGCCAAAGTACTTGCTTCTCGTGTTAGTGTCCTTCTCCCCCTTATTGTGAGTCCTTAACAAAATTGGTTTGTCCGAGGTCGTTCAATTACTGATAATGTGTTGATTGCTCAATAAATTATGTAATTTTTAAAAACCAACGTTCTGGGAAAGAGAAGTGGATGGCGTTAAAGTTAGATATGGAGAAGGCGTATGACCGTGTCGAGTGGACGTTTCTTCTCGTGGTGTTAGAGGAAATGGGTTTCTCTGACTGCTGGCTCCGGTGAAACTGTTCTTGCATCACAATGGTCCACTTCTCTGTGCTTATGAATGATGTGGAGTATGGATACTTTCAGCCCCAACGAGGTATCCGCCAAGGTGACCCCCTATCTCCATTACTTTTTGTCTTATATTCTGAAGCTTTCTCTGATTCCATTCTGGCTATAATTAACCATTCTTTTCTGCATGGTTTGAGGGTGCATAGACTAGCTCCCATTACTTCTCATCTCTTCTTCGCGGATGATACTTATTTGTTCATTAGTGCTCCCATCCCTGAATGTGCTAATCTCTTACATTTGTTGAGTGACTTTGAAGCTGTTAGTGGACAACATGTTAATTTGCAGAAATCTGCGATCTTGGTTAGTCACAATGTGTCCGAACAAGAATTGCAGGACATCACCTCCTTCTTAGGGGTCTCCACAATGGTACACGGTGACAAATATCTTGGGTTGTCTTCGCAAGTTCAGCGTTCCAAGATGCAAACTTTTCATTTTGTGAAAGAGGCATTGGCCAGCCACATTCGGAGTTGGAAGTCCAAAGGCTTGTCCTTTGCTGGGAAGGAGGTTGTCATCAAAGCGGTGGGCTCTGCTGGCCCCGTTTATACAATGTCTTTCTTTCGTCTTCCCTCATGGACATGTCATCGTTGTAATAGTCTTCTTGCGCGCTATTGGCGGGCAGGTCAGGATAAGGAGAATGGATTAGGTGGCTCTCCTAGTCGGCGGCGTGTAATAGTAAGTTTCACGATGGGCTCGGATTTCGTGATTTTGACCGTTTTAATGTTGCGTTACTTGCTAAACAGGCTTCGAGAGTTCTTCAGAGTCCTACCAGTTGCTTGGCGGGGATCTATAAGGCTCATTATCATCCCCACCATCATTTCTTGGAGTCAAAAGCAGGCTCCCGTCCGCCCCGAGCGTGGCAGGGTATTCTTGAAGGGCGTGACCTTCTTCTTCGCGGGCTACATTGGCAGGTCAGTTCTGGTCATTCAATTTCGGTTCTTGATTACAAGTGGTTATCGACTTCTCCTCCTTCATCACCTCTGCCTCTTCCAGGGATCTCTGTTGCTAACTTGTGGGTAGCTGGTTTGATTGAGTCTGACCGCCACTGCTGGAATCGGGACATCCTGGGACAACTATTCCCTCCGTCGCTATTTAGATCATCTTGGGCATTCCACTCGCCCTCTTTCCTTCGGAGGATCGATTGTTGTGGCATTATTCTCCTTCTGGTGAATACACAGTCAAAACAGGTTATCAAGTTCTCACTAACGAGCTTTTTGCGCGTGTTCCCCCACCTGTGTTGCCCTTTGATTGCAGATTCTGGAAATACCATTAGATCTTGCCGGTGCCGTCAAAATTGAGGAATTTCTCATGGCGCTTTGCCCGTGGGTTCTTACCCATTATGACAGTGTTCTCCATAAGAAGCTAGTGACATCCACGACGTGCCATGTTTGCTCGGCTGGGGAGGAAACCTTCCAGCACTATTCTTACAGTGTTGAATTACCACAGGGGTGTGGTGGCTTGTTGGGAAAGAGACTCTTCTTCTTGAACTAGCTTCACTTGACCTTATTAACATTTGGAAAAGCCTATTATTTTCTCTTCCTCTGTCCAAATTGCAGGTGGCGGATGTTTTTTTCTTGTTCTGGAGGATCAGGAAAGGAAGATGTTGGGCTGTCCATGGTGGGATTCAATTCCTTCCTCCAGCATTACATCGTCAATTTGTTCTTCCAATGGAGGAGTGGCGTACTACATCCTCTTCTGACCCTTCTCGATCAGTCTCACAGCCTCGAGCTGCTCGACCACCCTAACAGGGACTCTCCACTCCATGTTGACGTCGGCAGCAGTGCCTCCCCCGACGACAATAGGTGCTGGAATGGGTTTTGATGACACTTTTCTTGCTAATCTGTTGGCTTTTCGTGATGCATTAGACTGGTGCTTATCCCATCATTTTCTGTTGCTTCTCTATCGTGGGGATTCCATTGTGACTGTTCGGGGGCTGTTGGCGAGCGGTTCCGAGCATGTGATGGGAGGGATGGTCCTAGAAGACATCTCCCACCTAGCAAAAGCTTTTGAGTTTTATTTTTTCTCCCATTTTACTCGTCGAGTTAATAGAGCGGCCCAGTTTGTGGCCAAAAAAGCTCTTTCATCGAAAGTTCGACCTTTAGTTGACTTTCACTTGTGGATTGATTTTCTTCTTTGACTATGTATCCGGACTTTTGTATGGTTTTGACTATGTTAATAACAAAAGTGTTAGAGTTTGAGGCTTATATACAACTAAAATTCTAATATAACATTTAATTCAACGACTTGCGTGGTAGTAATATCTACTTGTCCTCTTCTAACTTTTAATGGTGCAGAGTCTCCAAATCTAAAATTTTGGTAGCATCCAATGTATTTTAGCCGCTAAAGTTTAATGTTGATGGGTTGGAATCAGATAAAGGCTGGTAGGGGCCTTCACCAAGTATAATTTTTAGTATGAATTATTGGTACAAAATATAGATTTGAACGTTGAAAGGAGAAATTGTTACTTTATGTTATATAGGGTCAACCTAGTTTGGGGTGTGCAACATTTCGGTTCCGCCCAGACCAAATTCAAGAGAACCGCGGTTCTTTTAGGAAAGACATCTCAGGACCATGGACCGAAACATCATTGCTTTTGGTCCATTTTGACCGGGTCGATCCAGTCAAAATATTAGTTTGGTCCATCATTTCTTCAGTAATTATAAAATTGATGTAGAGCAAGGACTGTACCGCATTATACTCGGTCCGATACGGTCCGGTCCAAACATCGGGTTGGTCCTGTGCGGTCTGTTCCGGACCGGACCATTGCACACCCCTAAACCCAGTAGATAATTATTTTAAGCCCAAACTCATTATGAATCATGGACATGAGAGAGGGAAATGGGGTAATTAGTAATAAGTCATAAACCTTTCCACTTAGTACAAAATGGTTACAAAACTTTAACTTGTAATAATACGGTAATAAAAGTTTATACTCAGAACAAAACGGTCACAAATTAAACATAATGGCCATTTCATACAAGTTCAAACGTTGTTACCGTATCATTACCAATAAAACTTTTGGTGACCGTTTTGTACAATGTTCAAAGATTTGAACGATCAATCACTGTTACAAGGTATGATGGCTTTGTTAATTTATGTGAATGAAATGATTGTAACAAAGGATGACAGTACTAGTGAAAGACATAAAGGATGACAGTGAAGTAATACACGGGTTACAAGCTGCTTTTGTTGAAAAAATCGACATACTTTATTAGTATTGAAATTGAAAGGTAAGCATAGGACATTTTTATTCGACAAAGCAAGTATATTGATGAACACACGAGCCGACATCTCATATGTCGTTCAAGTGGTTACTGTCATATACTTGATGAACACACGATCTGACCTAAAAAAGGGTGTCAAACCTTTAATCTATAACGATTCGGTAACAAACCTTTGCACTTAATACCAAACAGTCACAAATGAAATAGAAGTGACCATTTCATACAATATAAAACTTTTTTTTACCACATCGTTACAAAATTTAAGCTTTGTGGCCATTTTGTACTAAGTGCAAAGTTCTGTGAGCGTTTATGCTAATTACCAGTGGAAAATGTCTATTTATATTTGGTACTCGATGATTGGGCTAAACTATGATCTTAGTGTTAAAAACAAAAAATTATTGTTACTTGATGTTATATAGAGCCAACCCAATATATAATTTAACCAATTTAAAGGTCAAACTCACCGAAAAGTAGGGGTGTTCAAACGGAGTGATTACATGATAATTAATTTGATTTACTTCAATTTTTTAGTTTGTTTCATTTATATGATTTGGTTTGATTTCATATACTTCTAATGGTCATATCATTTGGAGCATACCAGTCGTCTCCTATAATATATATATACACATAGATACTGAATATTATATATAAATGACATATTGATACATTAAATAAAATTATGATGTTATATTATATTAATTAATTCGGTTAACTAGCAATTTAATATTAATTTGATATATATTTTGGTGAGTTTACTTATGAAATTAAATATGAATTAGATATATAGTTTGGCGAGTTTAGTTATGAAGTTGATAAAATTTAGATAAAATTTATTTTAAGTAATTTGGTTAACTAACAATTAAATATTAATTTGATATATAATTTGGTGGGTTTAGTTATGATATTGTATTTTATAGTTAATAAAATTTAGACTTATTTGATAGTTACCAATTAGCCAAACTAATTAAATATTAATTTAGTTATAATGATTGTTATATTAATTTAAACTAGTATTGTGACCGGCCCGTTGGTCGGTGGGTAGTCTACAGGTGGATTCAATAAGTGCTTTCTTTTCTATTAACAATTAGTAGGAAGTAGGTATGTAGTGGATTTTGATTGCAATGGAGGGTAATTTCATAAGAGGAGTCTTATGTCTCGTTGAGAATATTGATTGTGGAGGTCAAATAGTGCCTCTTTCATCCCTTCCGTTTCTTGTTCGTCTTTCCTTCCATTTTTGTAATGTTAATGGAGTGGCACCTGCCCTTCTTCATATCATTGGGATGAAGTCCAAGATTAGAAGTTGTTTGGATGCCCATGCCCATTAAAAGTATGAATCTTACTATAAATGTTGGTCTTTACACATAATATATGAGGCATGTTAATCATTATGCTAATCCAATCGGTGAACAAATAATATTGAAAATTCCTATAATAGCTTAGAACCAAGGTGAACATTAATTTTATTACATAAATACAATAGTTACAGATAATTTTTTGTTTTTAGAAATAACACTTTTGTTTAATTATTGTGAAATCAAGTTACGTATGCCGTACTTAATGAACAACCTCTCACTTGAGGAATATTTACATCTTTTTAGGTAAACAGTTAAGTGATTGTGGAAGCCCTACATGTAGGGGTGATAGTCGGTTAACCGCAACCGATTACATGCCCAAACTCCCAACCGAAGCCGACGCCGATACACATGGTCGGTTATCCGACACCGAAACCGCAATCGTCGGTGCGGTTAGTCCTCAAACCGTGAAACCGCAAAAGTTAATAGAATTGTCAATTTTGGGGGATTGGGGACCTATTATTATTCCTCTCCCGTCTTCATCAAATCCTTCTCTCTCACCCTTTTTCAATCTCCGATCTGCCTTCCCCAAATCCCTCTCTCTCTCTCTCTCTCTCTCTCCCTCCTCCTCTCTCTCTGACCATCTAAAGCCCCTCAATCTACGATCTGGAAGGCAGGAAGACAACTGACGGCGACCTAGGAAGGGGAAGAAGGGCATGGCAGAGGCGAATCTAGAGTCGGTGGCAGAGGACGAAGAGAAAGAGCCGCCGAAGGTTGGAGGTTTCGAATCTTTCCAGTTCTCGTCCACCGCCAAGGCTGAAGAAGGCAGGGACGACGGCGGCCTGCACTCAATCTTCACGGGAATCGACCCTCATTTCCTTCATTTGATGGGTCTCGACTGTCGCCACCTTCTAATCGGCGGAGGCGACAACTTCGGCGGAGAATGAGAGTGTAGTGGTGCATGTCTGGTTGGGGCGCCGAGGTTGCGATTGGGGAGATTGGGACGACGATGTCGAGATTGAAGGACGAGGTGGGGAGGCCAGATCTGGTAGAGGTCGAGAAGCTTCTGGATGGGGCGGAGCAGAGGGTGTCTTTAGCCTTCTATTTCATTCGACAGTTACTTATCGGTGCACCGAGTTTTCTCGGTTAGCCACCGTCGGTTTCCGGTTATGGATATTGCCTGAAAATGACAATCGACGCCGACACCGAACACAAATAATCGGTTTCAGTTAAACCGAATAACCGTGGATTTCAGTTCGGTTTTCGGTTTTACCGAATAACCGGCGACCGATTAACACCCCTACCTACATGGCACCTCTGATTTAATTATTTCATAAGAAATAATTGTCATTACATAATTTGGTATGTAATGCATTTATATCTTGTGTAAGAGTTGTAGAATGAGGTTTATGTAACTCTTAGGTAACTGATTATATTTTTTCTCCAAGGCAAGCCCAAAGGGCATGGGGCAAAGACTCGACACAATTACAATATAGACTCAAACCCATTGCGTTAGTCCGTTTGCAACCAGACTACGATGAAAGAGCCTGTAAAGCCACTACTTAGGCAGCTCTGCAGAAGCTCCGAGGAGCAAAGACACGACACTGACGGGAAAAATTAAAAACCAAAACCCAACATCACCAAGATAGTCCCGCCAACTTGTGTAGTTTCCTTCGACGGAGTATACTAGATGACCAGTATCGAGTTGCCATAAAAAGTCACAACAAAGAGGGGGGGGGGGGGGGGAACATTAGCAATCTTCAACAAAATATGCTTAATTACTCTCATAATTTTGTAAAGGGTAATATAATCAAACTATCACCTGATAGACCGACGAAACTTGTTTTACTTCCTTCAATTACTGTCATATAATATGAGCACCTGTTAATTTTCATTCACATTTTCTTGATTTATCCTCATAACACCATTGGAATGGATTATTACTATCCTGCAAAACGACCAACCAAAAAGATACCACTATGGTGGTAGAAATCTCTATTCTAAGATATTAGAGTTTGCCTTCGAGGTATGGTCGGTAGCACCGAATGTACAACACCAATGGTGTGAATCATCTCCAAAAAGAGAATACAACTATAAAATTAAAGGGAAAAAAGACTCACAAATAATCAAAATACCTTAAATAGAATTATTAAATAAAATTAAGAACCAAAATAAAGGATAAGAAAAGAACTAGGGAAGTATTTAAATCGTATAAAACTAACCCAAACTAATTTGAATGGATAACAGAAAAGATAAGCATGGCCAGACAACAGAAAAGATAAACTAATTTAAATCGTATAAAACTAACCAACTGATTACATTTTTACTTAGTGAATAATAACATTTTTTTTAATCCAAGATAAGCCCAAAGGGCATGGCCGGACAACAACAATATGAAACTGACAATAATAAAGAACGGTAGTCCGTATGCAACCAGAATCCGGATAAAAGAGTCTGTTATGCCACGAGGTAGGCAGCTCTATGAAAGCTCCATGGAGCAAAATGACACGAGACTGACACAGGGAGTGAGAAGAGAGAAAGAAGAACTTCCTTTAGAATGGAGTCGTCTCTCAAACGGGAAGACTTCCTTTCTGAAGCATCTTTGATGATCAATTGAGCATTTCCTCAAAATAAAAAATAAAAAAACATTATGAATCAGTGACTATGTAATAGGAATCATTAATACCATGTATAATTTACCAAGAGCAGATGGCCTTAACTGATAGACTGATGAGATTGATTGAATTTCCTTCATGTATCTTAATTACGACAAGATTCCCCTGTAATGTGGCCAACCCAAAAGGGGTCCACTAAAGTACTGGAAATCGCTATCCAAAGAGATTAGCGTCAACCAGTGAGGCATAGTCAAAAGTACAGAATAATGACATTGTATTGCATAAAATGTCAATTGATTACATAATTCTTACATAACATGCTTCACTTAAATATTGTGTAATAAATATTGAATTTTTGTAATCTTTGTGTAATGTATTTTGCGTAATATTTTTAAAATGGCATTACTTAATAATAAAAAAATCATATTTATCTTTTAACCATTTTAATGGACATTCATTTTAAAACTCCAAGTTCAAGCGAGATTTTGATCCGAGATCTTCGGAGCACCGCTGTAACAAAGTTCCTTGCTAGGTTCGCCTTGCCAATGCCAACGGTGGATTCACCGCTGGCCGGAGGAGGCCCTGACGCCTCCCACCATGCAGAAACAGTCACTGGTCAGAGAAGACTGCCATCCACAATGTCTTCTCCAAACCCTAAAGGGGATAGAGAAACACAGCAAAGCAAGAAACGAGCTAAGTCGACTACGCCCTCAATCCACCCGGAAGAGTTGGAGGATGTAGAGATTTTGGATGTCCGTGATAAGGAGATGGTTCGCAACGCCCTGAACAACCCAGAGAAACTAGCGTGCACCTCTGGGACGGGTGCGGCGAGACGCCTCTTTAGCTACGTCATCAAGACAGACGTTTGGTACGTTGCAGACTCGGATTCTGAAGACGTAGCGGAGGCCATGAGGCAGGATGGGAGAGATTGAGGTTTTATGGAGGAAGAAGGCTCGTTGTGCCCACCAATACTCTTCACCGCAGGAAAAGAAAGAAAGTTTTGTAGAGCTTATAGATTAGCACTAGTGGTGAAAGTCTTGGGAAGATCAGTGTCGTACACGGGAGTGTCCAATCGGCTAAACGCCATATGGGCGAAAGCAGGAGGTATCCAAGTAGCCTCGGCCAAAAATGGGTACTATCTTGTACGCTTTACGAGCGGTATAGATTATGAGCGTGCAACCACCGGGGGGCCATGGATGATTGGAGAGAACTATCTCACGGTTCACATGTGGGACAAGGATTTCAACCCGTATAATCATGAGATCTTGTCAACTTTGGTGTGGGCTCGGTTACTCGACCTACATGTCCATTATTTTCACCCAGATGCAATGACGAAGATTGCGCAGCGCATTGGGAATCTGCTACAGGTGGACCATGCAATGAGCACGGGTGCTATACTGGACTATGCGCGAGTTTGCGTCCAAGTGGACCTTACGAAGCCGCTCTTGTCACAATTTAAGATACATGGGATATTTCATTCAATATGAGGGTTTGGAGAACATTTGCCTACAATGTGGAACATATGCGGCACGAGGCCGCTGTGCTTGTACCCCGCCGACGAAGATGGACCAAGAGACAGTTAGCCCACCGGACCCGCATGAGCTGGCCGAGCAGATGGGAAATCCACCATCTCAAAGACCACCAGAGAAGGAGCAAGTATACGACCAGTGGATGATTGCGAAGAAGAGGAGAATGTTGACATACCCAGAGGAGTGAACACAACAAATGTGATAGGATCTAGCGGCAATCTCAAAGGTGATAATTTGAGACAGAATAATCAGAATACTAAATGGCAAGAGAAGTTAGAGGGGAAACGTACGGGGAAGGAGCATGTGAGTAAACCCACCATGGCAAGCCAACGTCCACAGAAAGAAGCTATCCTGACGGTCCCATCCAGCGTTGGACTTTCCTCGGTACTCACCATGCCACTCATGCATGAGGCGAATAGAGAGCCGAGACCCCAGACTACTACAAACCCCCAGGATCTCATGACTACGACAGGAGAGAAGACTCAATCAGTAGCGCATGAGAATAATGATCATCGTTCTAGACCGCCAGAACCTAGGGAAGTGGGCATGGAGGTCGAAGGTGAAGAGAAATACAAATTCTATTCCGGTGAACATGCGAGAGAGTCTCAGCCATGAGGCTCCCCCATCATTAGTGTAAACTGGCGTCAGCCGAGTCCTACTCTACCATGTGTCAAATGAAGCTCAACATTTTTGCATGGAATTGTAGGGGAGCGGAAAGCAAAGGCTTACCGAGGATGTTTAGAGAATATAGAAGAAAGCATCGGCCTTGTATTACTATCATCGTTGCACCCCGGATCAGCGGTAGTAAGGATCAAGAGGTTGTGAAGGACAAGGGATACGATAAAGAATTTATTGTTGATGCGGTGGGTTTCTCGGGCGGTATTTGGCTAACCTGGGACTCGTCGTTGGTTATGGTAACTGAGGTGGACAGAACGGCTCAATTTCTCCACGTTCGTGTTCAAAGTGGGTGGGTTACTTGGATGCTCACAGCTATCTACGCTAACCCTGCTTTAGTCCAACGTGGTTATTGGCAGGGGATTTCAACTCGATCCTGCCGCCATCAGACAAGATGGGGGGAGCCTCGTTTGACGCTAGTCGTGCGAAAGATTTTCAGGAGTGTGTCCTTGATGCAGAACTGATTGATCTTGGTTTTACGGGTCCGCCCTATACTTGGTTTTGATCGGGAGTGAGGGAAAGATTGGATCGGGCAATGGGGAACCTTGCTTGGACATCGCTTTTCCCAAAAACATTAACTCGCCACCTCCCCAGGGTAAAGAAGACTGACCACCACCCCCTACTGCTACAACTAAACCCTGGGTTCCAGGCCTCGCGACCAAAGCCGTTCAAGTTTATGGCGTCGTGGTTGACGCACGAAAGGTTCAAAGCAATGAAAAAGCAAGCGTGGCGAAGAGGGACTGATATGCTTATAGCCATTGCTGAGTTTTCCTCGGCAACAAGACTGTGGAACTACCACACATTTGGGGATATTCTAAAGAAAAAGGATGCGCTCATGGCACGAATAGAGAGGCTGGAAATAAGATATGATGGGGAATCAGACTGTGAGGCACTAAAGAAAGCTAGAGATGAGTTTGAGGAGGTCCTCGTTCAAGAGGAATTATTATGGTATCAAAAGTCTTGCTCAAACTATGTGACTATGGGCGACTGTAATACCTAGTACTTTCATGCACTGACGATTCAAAGGCGACGAAAAACAGAGTGACCGCTTTAAAGAACATCTTGGGGGAATGGGTTGATGACCAAGACAAGCTCCTTCTATGGCACGTCATTATTACACACAGTTGTATACAGATGATGGCCTCCCTATTGCTTCTATTCCAACGGCCTTTGATGAGGTTCCTGGACACTTGTGGTTGCCTCTTGAAAACAAGCTCTCAGAGGAAGAAGTTTATGGAGCGGTGAAGGCTATGGGGGCCCTTAAAGCCCCAGAAAAGTATGGGTTAAACCCGTTGTTCTACCAACAGTGCTGGAATATTGTTAAAAAGGAAGTGGTGGAATTTGTGCGGGATGTTTGGGAAGAACCAGCTCAAGTTCGGGCTATCAATAAGACCATTGTGGTCTTGATACTGAAGATCGCACGACCAACTTTGATTGAGCAGTTCAGATCCATTAGCCTCTGCAACGTGGCCTACAAAATGATCACTAAGTGCCTGACAGGCGTCTAAAACCATTGATGCCTCGGCTGGTCCACGAGACGCAAACCAATTTCATCCCGGGACAACATATTACTGATAATATCTGTATTTTGCAGGAGTTTGTACATTCGATGCGGGCCAAGAAGGGAAAGCTAGGTTGGATGGTGCTTAAAATTGACCTGGCCAAGGCATATGACCGGATCAAGTGGTCTTTTGTCTAGGATACCTTGCAAGCGGCGGGAGCTCCCCAAAAATTTATCAATGTGACCATGAGTTGTATATCTTCCGTGAGTATGCAGATCCAGTGGAACGGGGGACTTACACAACCGTTTATGTCGACACAGGGTCTTCGCCAGGGATGCCCTTTGTCTCTGTATATTTTCACCCTTTGTATAGAGAGACTTGGCCATCTCATCTCAGCGGCGGTGGAGAGTGGTAGTTGGCGGCCGATCACATTATCAGCGCAGGGGCCCCGCTGTCACACTCTTTCTTCGCAGATGACCTGATCTTATTTGGGGTGGCAACCACGAAACATGCAGGTACGATCACGAGCATTTTGGAGGAATTTGGCGCGGCATTGGGGCAACAGGTCAACCGTCCCAAATTGAGAGTTTTCTTCTCCCATAATGTTAGTAGTGCAGATCGGAGTAGGCTGAGCAGTGACCTGGGCATTCCGAAAACCAGTAATTTAGGTAGATACGTGGGGGTTCCGGTTATACATGACCGAGTCTCGAAGAGTACGTTTACAGAGCTGGTTGACAGGATTATGCCAAGCTGGCTGGGTGGAAGGTTACATCACTCTCTCTAGCGGGCATAATCACCTTAGTGCCATCTGTGTTCATGGCGCTACCGGCATACACTATGCAAACCACCTTCTTGCCGGCTGCCATCCCTGAATACATCGACAAGAAAGTAAGAAGATTCCTCTGGGGAAGTTCCGAGCACGGCCGAAAAATCCCCTTTTTGGATTGGGAGACAGTTTGCAAACCTAAGGACGAGGGAGGGCTCGGTTTGCGCAGTGCAACGGAAATCAACGAGGCATATATGATGAAAATTGCGTGGAGGCTCTTTACAGAGCCAGAGAGTTTATGGGCTCGTGTAATCAGAAGCAAGTACCTTAGATGGTCGGATGAGGGATGGCAGCCGAGGCGAGAGGGACGTCTATCCAACCTCTGGCGGGGATTCCTTCGAGTTCTCCACCGTCTACCGGAAGCTACGCTATGGAAAATCAAGAGTGGTATGCAAGTTATATTTTGGACTGATTGCTGGCTATAGGATGGGCCACCCCTAATCGAGTTTGCACCGAATATCCCGAACGAGGCGAAAAAGTTGGTTTTAGCATACTTAGTTCTGAATGGAGAATGGAACATAGAATTTGTGAGAGCCGTTGTCCCGGAGGCTGTAGCTGCCCAACTCCTGCTTCACCTGGTTCTACGCGAAGCCGGCCCGGACATACCAACCTGGCGGTTCTCCCCGTCGGGTCGTTTCACTATGGCGACTGCTTGCGAGCTGCTCAGGGGCGATGATGGAAACCTGCCGCGCATCCCGACCTGGAAAGCTATATGGAGAGTGCCTGGTCCACAAGGGACAAAGGCGTTTCTATGGCTAGTGCTTCACCAAAGATTGCTGACGAATGCTGAACGTCGACGAAGGCACTTGGTGCAAGAAGACTCTTGCCCGATCTGTGGTGTGGGGCCTGAAAATCCCATCCAAATTCTTCGTAACTGATATGCACGCATGATCTGGGCGAAAGTGTTGACGGGCGAACAGGATGAATCCTTCTTTGAGGAGGAAATGAAGAAATGGTTGTTGTAGTACCTCACAGGACGTGGCACAACTGTAGACCCTACCTTGTTTGCGATTATGTGCTGGAAACTTTGGAAGAATAGGAATTGCTGGGTCTTTGAGAAGCAGCTAGCGTCAACCCATTCCTTGGTGGCGCAGGTGAAGCAGATGTGTGTACAAACCAAAATGTCTTTCGATCAGGCCGAGAGAGTTTTTAATGAGAGCCAAGCTCGGGTAACGAAAATGGTGAGCTGGCAGGGACCCGCTGAAGGTTGGGTGTGTTTGAACACTGATGAATCTGTCAGTTTGAGCCATGGAATTACGGCGGCAGGGAGCGTATTGCGGGAGTAGGATGGCAGGTTCATTAGAGCGTTTGCGGCTAATCTGGGTGGCGGTTCCATAACTCATGCTGAGCTTGCTGGGTTGTTCATGGATTAAGAATGGCGTGGGATTATGGGACCCGAAAAGTCGAGTTGCAGACAAACTCGGCGACATCAATTCACTTGATATAGTCTGGAGTGGAGGAGCACCAGCATCATACATGGATAGCCGAGGCTCGGCGGCTGCTAGAGTTGGAGTGGGAAGTACGAATCAAACATGTGTTCCGAGAGAGAAATTACACGGCAGATTATTTGGCTAGTATTGGGCACTCGCTACAGATAGGGGTCCAGGTTATAAATATACCGAGTCCGATATTAAACTATTGGATGTACTTTGATGTTGTTGGGGTTCAACCCCCTCGTTTAGTTAATGCTCAAGGGTTAGAGCGCCCCCTGCGCTCTGTTTCTCACAAAAAAAATTTCGATTCTCCTTGACTACACAGAAATCAATTTACTATTATTAAGAAAATCAAGATCCTATAAGAGGTTTAAGGGGCTAATGAAAATGGAACCGAGGAAATAGTTGATATCAACAATTATGTTTACTAATAAGCAATGATTGAAAAAGCGTACGGGTGGTTGACTGAAAAAATAAGCGTTAGGATATTTTATACTGAAATCGTGGTTCAATCGTTTCATATCGTTAAATATCATCTACTATTTTTGGTTTTGATATGAGGTTTTTTTGGTCGAACTGCCGGTACGGTATAATTTTTCAATCCTTGCCAATAAGTTACTTTCATGATAGAAAAGTTAAAAGTCAAAAGAAAGAATGAAGCTTAATCTGCTAATGAAATTGACCCAGACAATTGTAAAAAAATTAAGAAACACAACAATACAGTGTTGGAATTAAGGAGATATAGTGAAGGAGATTCATAATAGAAAGAACTCTAACTCTAAGCTAAATAGCTACCCCATACTTTTGAAATTGAACATCACTGTCACGAACCTATTATCGAATTTGTAATTATGATTTAGACTAATATCATATTTAGTTTTTGGATTGAGATGAGGATAATAGATGCCTGGCCGTTTCTTAATAGTACACAATTGATGCCTGACCGTTTCGGTTACCAAAAGTCGCTGCTGTAGTACAAAAAGCCGGGAGGAAATGGTTGGAACTCATAATTCAATTAAAAGAAAAAATTATAGAACAAAGCGTTTGGCACTTGGCAAAAATGCCCTTGCGTAAAAGAGGGAGAAGTAAACAATGCAATGTTGGAATTAAGGAGATATAATGAAGGAGATTCATAATAGAAAGAACTCTAGCTCTAAGCTAAATAGCTACCACATACTTTTGAAATTGAACATCACCGTCACCGAACCTATTATCTAATTTTTAATTATAATTTAGACAAATATAAGATTTAGTTTTTGGATTGAGAGGAGGGTAAGGATAATAGATGCCTGCCCATTTTTTAATAGTACAAAATTGATGCCTGATCGTTTCGGTTACCAAAAGCCACTGCTGTAGTAAAAAAGCCTGGAGGAAATTGATGGAACCCATAATTCAATTAAAAGAAAAAAATCATAGAACGAAGGCGTTTGGCACTTGGCAAAAATGCCCTTGCGTAAAAGAGGGAGAAGTAAAAAATGCTTATGTGGCAAAAAAATTCGGTATATTGTGAAGCCTATAATGTGAGTGATTGATGATGATTTGCTAATGAGATGGTAAGTTACTTTTTGAATCTCCTCCATTTTTACACTTTAGGGTTGCTCTCATCGGCGGAGCTAATGATTTGATGCATTGTTTTTGCCGAAATCAAGTCACTTTAAGAGCGGGTAAATTGCAAGGTTGGTCATTGAAAGTGCTAAAATATTCACGTTTGGTCACTAAAAGAATTTTATTCCATTCGTGGTCACTGAAAGTGGTTAACGTTTCACGATTGGTCACTCTACGTTAGTTTCCATTAACACCGTTAGTGTTTTGCTGACGTGGCAACCAAAAATGACGATTCCATCTTCGATTTGTTCGTTGACGATCTGTGTTCCCGAATAGAAGCAGCAACGTCGCCGCGTTTGGGAGTGCCTCGATTTTGGGGTTTCGCCGTGTTCTGGGTTTGGGAGTACCTGGGTTTGGGAGTAAAGATGAGAGGAGGCAAGGGCGATCGACTTTGAGGAAGAGCTGGTCACCAGAAGCATCGGCAATCAAAGCTACTATTGAAAACCTGGCAGAGATGGGTTGACGATGGTGTTGTTGAATCCCTTTGGATGGTTGATGGTGACGGTGGGGATTAGAGGTTGATGGCGACCGAGAAGAAGGGACTAAAAAGGTGGATCAAAATGGGGTTTTCATTTGGGCCAATTTAGTTTTAGGTCAGGCGGGTCAATAAGGAGGGTTGGGTCATGGGTTGGGTAATCTAACAAGGCTGGTAAAACTGACGTGGCATATCCGGTTTTATGATGTGGCAGGTCAAAATTGGATGAATCAGCATTTTTAGTTGCCACGTCAGCATACCACTAACGATGTTAATGAAAACTAACGGAGAGTGACCAATCGTGAAACGTTAACCACTTTTAATGACCATGAATGGAATAAAATTCTTTTAGTGACCAACCTTGCAATTTACCCCTTTAAGAGCAATACACGAAGCAAATCGGGGACCAATCTAATGTATAGGAGAGTTGTACATTTCCTTGTCGACTTGCAGCAACTCCTAGAAATGTTAGCCATGTTGGAAATTTGGTTGAACTGGACTAACCAAGTCAAACTGGTTTTGGATTGGACCGACCAACCGGTTTGGGATTAGACCGACTGAACCAATATTCTAATTCCGTGAAGGGACACATCCCTTTGGCCTAGTGGCAGTTGCATTATTTAATTGATAAGGATAACCTTATGGATAGATGCAACCTTTCATATGGATAAGGATAACCTTTCATATGGATAGAAGTAACCTTTCATATGGATAAAGGCAACCTTTCATGAAACAATGCATGGATTCTGCCCCTATAAATATGTGTGGGGTGGATGATGCCACATACCATCAAACATATTCTTCTTCTTTCTTCCAAAAATTTCTAAGTATGCTTTAGTGTTCTTGAGCCTAGAACCTAAAGTGGTGATAGTTTTATCCTCGGGAGAAATTTCCTGTAACCCTAGGCTCGTTGAGGGTAGAAATATTCTTTTCGGAAAGTGAACGTTGTTCACGACTCTATCACAATCCTGGTCACCCGGTCTCGGGCTATCGTACGTATACCCTCGTCCCTAAAAGTCCCAACAATCGAAAATAATATTTTCCGGTACAATGACTCGAACTGCTCTTTACAAGAAACCGGTTCTGGTTTATGGAATTATGAGAATGTTCGATGATGGGTTTTTCATCGATGGCAGTAGAAGATGGGTTTTCTTCATACTAGTCTTATGGTGTATTCCATATTCGGAAGGTAACTTGGAAGAGGGATGATTCGAAGATGAGGAAGAAGGAGAATGATTCGTAAGATGGAGAAATAGAAGAATGAAAATTGCCTTTGGGTAGGTCACATACTCAATGGTAAATTTGTCTAATTCTCTATTCGACGTTTGCCTAGTGCTAGACAAATATGGATTTGTCTAGTGGTTTGATGGTGTGGTTTTGTCTAAGTGGTTTACGTTAAACCAAGGAGACGAAATTGTATATACAATGTTTGATGATTCTGGTAATAGAGTCGTTGTGTTTGTATGTAGATAACATATTTATCTTTGGGACCAATCAAAGATAAGTGATTTTGTCTAGTGGTTTATGTTATTTTAAACCAAGGAGACAAAATGTGTACACAAATTATGATGATTCTGGTAATAAAGTCATGGTACATTTGTATGTAAAAGACATGCTTATCTTTGGAGCCAATAAAAGATAAGTGAACTTTGATAAAAATTTGTTATTTCAATTCTCCATGAGGGACATGGGGGAGGCAAATGTGATTGTGTGTATTGAATCAAGCGAAACGACAAGAAAGAGTCATTCTCTCAATTTTTTTGCATGAGAAGGTACTTGCATAAATTCCATGTCAAATTGGGGGCTCGATGTATGCATGACTTACATTATGCTAGATATCACATATGTGATAGAACAATTAAGTTGGTACGAGATGAATCCTAGTTCTCATCATTTGAAATGAAATGAGGCGTGTACTAGGATATGTCAAAGGCACACTGTATTGACTTATAGTGGCTTTCCATCAATTTTGGAAAGGATTTGTTGATGTTAGTTGGATTTCTCATGTTAAAGGTGATACTTCAACATTGAGATGGGTCCTCTTGGTTGGGAGAGTGTGCCATAATTTGGGCCTCTAGAAAGCAAACTTGCATCACTAAGTTTCACTATGGAATCAAAGTTTGTGTGGCCTTGATTTCTCTTAGAGAAGAGACATAATTGTTGAGAGGTTTGGTTTATGACATATATTTATGGCCTAAACCAATCTCACCTATTACTATCTTTTGTGATAGTAATGCTAATTTGGCTAAGGCATATAGTCAAGTGAAAATGATAAGTACGGTCATGTGGGAGTATGGCACGATAAAAGCTGTGAACTGATCATTCATAGTGTTGTGTCTAGACAGTATGACCAAACTCGAATTAATTTGGTTGATCATTTGACGAAGTGGTTAACTAGTGACTTGGTGATTAAGTCTGTGAAAGGGATGGATTCAAGTCCATATAATTTCTGGTAATGGGACACCCAATTCCCCTCTAATACAACGTTAGAGGCTGAATTCAATGTGGAAAGCTTATTATTAGAAATTGAAGCACAAAATTTGTCATCCCGAGGTATGTGCTTGTTATCTGCATGAGAGAAGAGGATTAAGTTCAAAACTTCTTCATTGAATCTTTGACAAAGTGTATTATGCGGGTACACGAATAAAAGATTCGACCTACGTAAGCTTGAAGTATAGCCGCTTCAAGAAACCCGGACTTTGGTTTCGTGTGCGCTTATGAGAAGGATTGGACACATGGCGGATAATAGTGTCAAGGCACTTAGAAGTTTTGAAAACTTAAGTGTATATTATCTTCGAATATTCATATGAGTCAATGGGTTCAATCGTTACCGACACCCTTTGTTCGAGTATTCATCAAGTGTAATATACTAAGGTAAAAATTCAATCGTCACGACATTTTCATTTATGCTTAAGTTTTGTTGGAAGAATGTTGTGATTTTAGTGAATTCTATAATACACTAAAATGGGGGAGGAATGTTGGAAATTTGGTTGAACCGGACTAATCAAGTCAAACCGATTTTGAATTGGACCGACCAACCGGTTTGGGATTAGACGACTGAACGAATATTCTAATTTCGTGAAGGGACACATCCCTTTGGCCTAGTGGTGGTTACATTATTTTATGGATAAGGATAACCTTATGGATAGAGGCAACCCTTCATATGGACAAAAATAACCTTTCATATGGATAGAAGTAACTTTTCGTATGGATAAAGGCAATCTTTCATGAAATGGATTCGACCCCTATAAATATGTATGGGGTGGATGATGCCACATACCATCAAACATATTCTTCTTCTTTCTTTCAAAAATTTCTAAGTATGCTTTAGTGTTCTTGAGCCTAGAACCTAAAGTAGTGATAGTTTTATCACCGGGAGAAATTTCCCGTAATCCTAGGCTTGTTGAGGGTGAAATATTCTTTTCGGAAAGTGAACATTGTTCACGACTCTATCAAAATCCTGATCACCTTATCTCGGGCTATCGTACGTATACCCTCGTCCCTAAAAGTCCCAACAAGCCCCGGCGGTCAGCTTCCAAGTTCCGCTGGCAATTGGAGACTGGGGAGGTAGAGGAACTACTGCTCTGTTAACCAAAGCATAAAATGTACCCTTTTCCATTTGTATCACTTTCTTGTATTTTACATCAGCCTCTTATTTCACCGACCAGGCTTTCATATCACAAGATCCGGCTCCAACACAAAAGGACTCGCCAAAGGCAAAAATCAAAAATCAAAATGCTCCAACACTGCACTGCATCTACCATTCTCGCAGATTCACCTCGCCCTTCAACCGTTCACCACCACACCACCTGCAAATATCACATTGTAGTATCAATAAATCAAACCCCTCTCCGTCAAATGGAATGTAGGTGAAGAGAACAAGTTGGACGTACCATTGGGGTGAATGACCTGGCCGGTGATGTAAGAGGAGCAATGATTGCAGGCCAGGAAAACATACGACGGTGCCACCTCCACCGGCTGCCCAGCTCTCTGCATCGGCACTTCCTTCCCAAAGCTCGTCACTTTCTCCTCCCTGAACGACGCCGGGATCAAGGGAGTCCATATCGGACCCGGAGCAACGCCATTGACCCGGATCCCTTTCTGCACCAGCTGGAGCGCCAGCCCACGAGTGAACGCCACGATCGCTCCCTTCGTGGCCGTGTAGTCCAGCAGCTCCGCGTTCCCCTTGTAGGCGTTGATCGACGTCGTGTTGATGATCGCGCTCCCTTCCTTCATGTATTTCAGAGCATGCCTGAAAGAGGGTGGAAACAAATTAAGAGGATCAGGAAAACCATGCCCACACTGTGTTCGACGAAATGTCCCACAGAGGGAGAAATTAGAAATACCGGGTCATGAAGAAGTAGGAGAAGATGTTGGTGCGGAACACGCGTTCTAGCCTTGGCTCGTCGATTTCTTCCACGGTGCTCGACTCGTACTGCTCGGCGACGTTGTTGACGAGGATGTCGATCCTGCCGTAGGCGTTGGCGACCTCGTCGACGGCTCTCTTGCAGTTCTCATCGAACCCCAAGTCGCCAGGAATGGCGATGGGGTCCTTGGCGTCAGGGGTTTTGGCCTTCTTCAGCAACTGGAGGACGTCTTCTGCATCCTTGTCTTCTTTCCCCTTCACGAACGTGAAGGCAACTGTGGCGCCTTCCAAGGCGAAGGAGTGGCAGACTGCTCGCCCGATCCCTGAATCGCCACCCGTCACCAGCGCCACTTTCCCCTGCAGTGTAAGCACCCCCCCATAACCAAACAACTCTGATCAATTGCAATTCGAAAGAGTAGTAGCTCAATTGGCATACATCAATGTCGTGGGTTATTAGCTGGTTTGAGAAAATATTTGAGCATTATAGGTGATTCTTTCCATGAGATTGACTGTATCTATATCTCCAAAATTAGACCAACATTTTCGCAAAAGGGGAAGAATTAACCTGAAGCTTGTTGGAGGGCTTGTAATCAGGGTTGGAGAACTGAGGGGTGGGGTCCATAACATGTTCTTTCCCAGGCTGATCCTTCTGCTGTTGGGGAGGGAAAGTCTGATCGCTGCCACCCGAAGCCATTCTCACAAACTGACACGATCTGGAGCTTCTGTGGCTAGCAGGAATAGTAAAGCCGGGAGTAGCGCTGTTTTGTGGTAAGTTCTGAACAATGGGATGATTGATCGAGACGTGGAGATGATGACACTAACTTCCTAGACAACAACATTCCCTTTTGTAGCTGAGAAATCCTTAAAGAAGGGGACTTCTTTATAAATGGAAAGGCAAGGATGACACGTGGAGATGTAGGTGGCAGGAAGCAGGAGCGTGTACGTGGTGAAAGAGTCGCATGCAGCGGACACGTCTGTGGAAACGGGACGCTATTCTTGGACGTTCTCTCGTTCGAGATCAGATCGAGAAGAAGGATGACTCTCAGGTTCTCATGTTTTGGCTTATTCGGTAAGTGCATAATCTCCTTTCTTTGTAGTGTCCAGCTTCAGGAATTTGCTGCACATTAAGATCAGAACGTAAATTCTTGACGTATTACAGAGTGGAAAAGCTTAAGTAGTGATCTAGAATGTTTGGTGGAGTTCCTGAGGTGGACTAACAAAGGATCTAAATTTCCTCTGCATGGTTGCCACGTGGAAAGTACTTGGGCTCAACAAGAGATTATATAATAAGTTGGAACTTCTCCAAGGGCTCAACAGCTATATAGGCAGTCTCAGAACCTGCCGATCCTGGCAAATAATGACAATGCAGTAGGCCTGTCAAAATGGTTTCGGTTTTTCGGTTTAACCCGAACCGGTAGCAGGTGTCTTCGGTTTCGGGTTTTCGGTTTCAACCCGAGAAAGGCACATCCGGTTTCGGTTCACCTAAACCCGAAAACCAACAAGGAACCCGAAAACCGAAGCTCTCTGTTAAGCTCGCCATTGTCTTCGAAAACCCTACACGCTACAAGGCGATTCTGCGCAGGCGATTCTCCTTCGCGGCGTCGGCTACCGGCGATTCTCTTTCAATCGAATGCAGAAGTCGGCTACAGGCGATTCTGCGCAGTCAGAGCTTCGCCAAATCTTACCCTGCAACTCTTCGCCATCCCTTCGTCGGCAACTCATCCGTTCGTTCAAGATCGAAGCTTATCTCGTCGGGCGTCGACGCTCACGCATCTGGGTAATGCAACCCGTCTCCGATATGGTTTTAGAGTTTCCCTGGGTTCGTCGATTCCTCCCCTGGCTTCATCGTATTGGGTTTTGATTTTTGCAGGTATCAAGCCCTTCGCAGTTCGCACTTCGCACTTCGCCGGACGTCCTTCTTCGATCTAGTGTTAGGGTTCCCCTGGTCTCGTTGATTTCTCTCCTGGCTTCATCGATTTGAGATCAGCTATGGCATCCCAGTAAGCTCCTCTATCTTACTATCTGTTGCTCTTCTTCTTCACCACTTATTTGCTTTCTTCGCTTGCTGGTGCTCTTTACATCCTTCTGCTTCTTCTGGCAAGTAGTGGATTTGGGTTTTATTGTGCTCAGTGGATGGCCGTTTGGGGTGAATTTCTTTTATCGGTATCTCATATGATCCTATGCTTCTTCTTGTAAGATGATCCGTTTAAGACATGATCAATATGGTATTATGGTGGATTAGTTTTTGTTTTGTGTGGGTGTTAATGGTGGATGTGATGCTAGAGATCAGAAGAGAGAGCTACCGGGGACGGATTTTGTCGTTGCTGGTTTATCTTCTCCTATGTCTGGGTTTGGACTACTGGCATTTGGCCAAGCTTTGGAATTATCTATATGCTATGATTAGTTAATGTGGCTCAAGCCTATTGTCTTCATCTTGACGTTGAGATCAATGTGTAGTTAGGAAAGTAAAACTCTCTTTAGCTCATCAATTAGGCTGCTTGCACAGTTCACTTACCGTTTGAATTAATCAGCTTTTTGGAGTTAATTGACTCCATCCAAGACTTTGACGATTGGAACTTGCAATAGAGTGTTACGGCCTGAATTCTCATGCATTTTGGGGTGTTTGTGATATGTTTATTGTTGGTTGACAGGACCTGCCGGCTGCCGCGCACTTTTCCTGGCCACCCATGGCTGGACACTCCGGAAGGCCATGCTGCTCTTCGTCGTGTTCTCGTTGGATACTCCTTCCGGGATTCAGATGTTGGTTATTGCCAGGTGAGGTGTCCTTCATTCCTGAAGTAACCAGCATCTTAGTCAAGAACTGAATCTTTGAGTCTCTTCTTATTTTGTGCTAACTGTGAATTGTCCTTGATGCAGGGTCTAAACTACGTAGCGGCATAGTTGTTGCTCGTGATGAAAACCGAGGAAGATGCATTCTGGATGCTGGCTGTCCTCTTAGAAAACGTCTTGGTTAGTGACTGCTACACAAACAACTTGTCGGGATGTCATGTTGAACAAAGAGTGTTCAAGGATTTGCTAGCCAAACAATGCCCAAGGTATTTACCTTCAATGCAAACACTTATGTTTCTTCGTAACCCTCTTGGTGCAATTGACACTAAGAAAAATAACGGGAAATGTGCAGGATAGCTGCTCACTTGGACTCATTGGAGTTTGATGTCTCACTCGTGGCTACCGAATGGTTTTTATGCCTCTTCTCCAAGAGCTGGGAAAGTGATCTATAGCCTGAGTTTGGAACTTGAGACACAAGAAGTGTAGTTGGAGCCTTGGAGGGATCTAGTGAGGAGTGTGTCTTAGTGAATTATGGAGAGAGCGATGTAGAAGGACCTATGCATCGAAATTCCTGATTGTTTTTGAGCTCGCGGACAAATTCCTTGGTTGCTGCTGCAGCTATCCAGGGATCAGTGTGGTTTGAGCTAGGCTAAGGGTAGAAGATTACCAGCTGCTTTCTGTTAGAAATTAGAATGAGTGGATTTAGTTAAGTGTAAAGAGTTGCACCTTGAATTGTAACTGCATTTACTTTGTGGTATCAAAAGAGAGATTGCAATGTTTGCAGGACTTTGAGTCATTTTTCAGCAGCCATATTCTATGTCATTGTAACTGAGAATCACCTGCCCCCAATCCTCGTGTTGTTACTGCTTCAGTTCAGTTAAAAAAAAAAACTTCAATCCGGTTCGGTTTCGGTTCACCCGAACCGAACCAAAACCGCAGTTATTTTTCGGGTTCCTGTACCCGAAACCCGCAAAGCATATGGTCGGTTTCGGGTTGGCGGGTTTCGGTTTCTCGGTTTTTTGCGGTTTCCAACCGAACCGACAGCCCTACAAGGCAGGGTGTCTGGCCGACCAGATAGCCAACAAGCTCGAGGACCAGCCCTGCCCTGCAGGGAGAAGTGTTGTCGTTGCCCAACTCAGCAACTAGCCCAACTCGATGGATAAGTGCGACATTGGGATCAACCACACGAGAGAGGGAGTTATGCTGGCGCCTGCCGGTGTGCGTCTGTAAGTTGGTGCCAATCCTTGTCCTTACAAACTACACTCGGACACAATTCGCGAGGTACGTCGGCGCAGGGCTTGGTGGTTGTGCGTGCTTAGTACTGGGACTCCAGGCAGGATTTTTGCCCGCGCCCACCGTTGGATCCCGATGGCAGGGTTCAGTGGGTTTTCGTTGCTGGTAGGAATGCTGCTTTGGCTGTTTGTTTGAGATAAAAATGGAGGGGACTTGTGATTTTCTATGTTTTTGGGCATCTGTTTTAGAAGTGATGTGGTTGACCTTCATGTAAAGTAGTGGTGAATGTCTGATTAACTTGTCTTTAACGTGACGATCCAGACCACATTGTATGAATTCCATCCACAGTTTCCAAGTCTCAGGGATTAGTAAATCTCAGTGTTCATTAATAGATCTTCACTAGGGTGGATACTTTCGCTTATGTGGAATTTTGGTTTCTTCGTCTAGTGGCCCTAGAATAATTAGTATATATAAAGCCCCTAATTGCTTAAGGGGTCCAGTAGCATGAGGGCGGGTGCACCACAGCTTCCCTACACACGCTTTCCCTCATCACCCATCCTAGATTTTCGTTAGGTTTCTTCCCTCAGGCAATCGCCTAGCGGCTGGACAAGTACAGAGCGCTTCCCTCCGACGATAAATGGGCAAGCCTAATCGACGTTAGAAATTAGTATATATAAAGCGCCTAATTGCTTAAGGGGTCCAGTAGCATGAGGGCGGGTGTACCACAGCTTCCCTACACCCGCTTTCCCTCATCACCCATCCTAGATTTTCGTTAGGTTTCTTCCCTCCGGCAATCGCCTAGCGGCTAGACAAGTACAGAGCGCTTCCCTCCGACGATAAACGGGCAAGCCTAATCGACGTTAGAAACTTTTCACTTGCTAGCCCAATGAGTTGCGATAGGGATCACCGCAAGCCCCCGTGTGCCCTCTTTTCCCCTCCCAGACTTTTCTTCGATCCCCTGCGGCTAGCCAAGTTGCGTTTGATGACCCATCGCTTCGGCTCCATTCCCAATTATCCTGTGGTGTGATGGAATGCGGCAGGGTTCATCATAATCTCCTATGCAGAATGGACCCTCGACATCCATCTCTATCTCTGCATGTTGTGGGATAAACAAGCAGCTTTCTGTCTTTCTCTCTTCTTCTTTTTCGTCTAATTGTCGCATGGATGAGGGGCCATAAAATGAACAAGTCGATAGCTAAGGCTTCTCTCCCAAACTCCCTCAATTAGAACGTGTGTTGGGCTAGGCAGGACAGAGCAAGCACTTCTGTTAGTTGGGCAAGCATACGCTTTCAACCTATGGAGTCAATCGAAATCTACAGAAACCTCCAATCCACCATAATAAAGGAGGTAGACAAGAATATAATTGACATGCACCACAAATCTTTTTCCCCCACCGAGAACAGAGATTGGACGAATGCAGAACCAAGCTCTCTATCACTTCTTCTCTTCATTCCCGAGTTCCATTTATCAAGAATTTACCTGCACACACAAATTGTCTTTCTCACACACATAAGCTACTCAATAACAGAGATTGGAAAAATCCAAAACCAAGCTCTATCCCCATCACTTCTCTCCAGCTTTGCAATTGCGCTAGAAATCATCCCTGGTGCACTTAGAATTCTCGCATGCAAAGTAGACAGTAAATGGCACTCTCGAATACTGGATTACACTAAAGAACGAACCTAGAAACCTACACTTCTAGCTTATAGCAAGAATATGGTAACAAATGAAGATAATGCTCCTCTTCGTATCTTTGGATTATTGTGTGGGTTATTCCAAGCATGCATGCGTTACATATGGCAACAAAACGAGGGACACCTGTAAACATTCACTAACCTTATGCCTTCACTTCACCAAACTTCAAACGACGATGCGTAATTGTCCGGATGTCGAGTTTGATGCCTTCACTTCACCTAAATCAATTTGGCATTTGGATGGTGTTTTCTTTTTCGTTTATTCATGACTTTTCTTTTCAACCTATAAATTATTAATTCTAATTTTTATTTATTTATCGATAATGAAAGTACATAAATGGTAAATGATTTTTAAACATTCTCAAGATCCTTCAAAGACACAAAGTTGTATTTGTTTCTTAAGAAAAGTTATAAAATCACATGAGAAATTACTAATTTTGATATTGAATTCAAACCGCGCGCAATAAGAAGTTAATTTAGAATAACTTAATTCAATACCTCTCAATTAGATATTCGAGCTTCCCGCCGCAAAGCGCGGGCCAATTGTCTAGTAAGCTTTATCCATCTTCATGTACACTGCCTTTGGCAACAAGGGATGCAAGTTCGTGGGGTGCAAGTTGAGGGGTAAATTGTTGGAGGTGCAACTTGGTGGAGGGTGTAAGTGGAGGGGTAAATTGTTGTTTGGATGAAAAAGTAGGGGTGCAAATAGAGTAAAAAGTAAGTAATTATATTATTATAAAATAGATTTATCAATTTATAAAATATTATCACAAAATAATAACATGAAAATTCAATATATAATAATAAATAATTTTAATAAAAAATAATTATTATATAATAATGCTCAAATATAATTATTTATAACAACAATAATAATCATTGGTTGAGCAATCTCGAAACTCGAAATCCAACTCGTAACTGGTCATCCTAAGGGGGTTCTCGTGCCTAACTTTAAATTGAATATGGTCAAACTTAGTCAAACACGTTCGAATCTTAAGTTTTAACTACTTATTAAATTAAATTGAGTTAACTAAACTGTTCCTCTCTATCTTTTCAACAAACGCTTCTTATCTCTAATTTTCAATGCAAATTCGGGTCAACTAAGAGATATCGATTTGACGTGGCGAACATTGACAAACTTGCTCTCTGAGTCAAACGGTCAACCCCAAACAACTTCTACACTAATATAGATATAAGAAAAAATTAATAATATTAATTATTATGTAATTATAATCTAATTAAAAATTCATAGTTCCCCTCCCTTCCTTCCTTCCCTTGCACCCCAATTTGGGGGTAAGCCGAAACAGTGAATTTACGCTCACGTTTTGCACCCCCCTATTGTTACAAAATAACCAAACGGGGGGTAAACACCTTGGAACTTGTGTTTACCCCCCAAACTTGCACCCCCCTCCTTTTACACCCCTTCCCAAACATAGTGGTAAGATTAGGCTTGTCCAAATCAGTGGGCCAATTCGACTAGCTAAGCATGAAGCTTCGAAGTTTTAGGTCTATCCCTGATAGGCATCCTATAAGGAATGGCACAGTTTTGCTCTACCAAATTCTGGCAGTTCTGTTGGTGGTTTCATGTTTGTTGTTTTATTTGTGCTGTCTGGTTATGGACAAAAAATTCAAAACTACCACGGTTTAAAAAAATTACAAAAATAACATCCATTCCCAAAAATTTCCAAAAATACCACCATTTATTAAAACCCGCGCCTCTAATAGGCGGTTAATATATAAACCGCGCCTCCAGGCAGCGGTTTGCATCATAAGCGCTTTGCCAACAGGCGGTTTTTAATTTCAGCTAAAACCGCCACTCAAAGGCGCGGTTTATATACTAACCCTAGCACAAAACGCTTCATGATATATAAACTCTACCATAAACCGCACCTCTAATAGGCGGTAAATATATAAACCGAGCCTCCAGGCAGCGGTTTACATCATAACCGCCTTGCCAACAGGCGGTTTTTAATTTCAGCTAAAACCGCTCCTCAAAGGCGCGGTTTATATACTAACCCTACCACAAAACGCTTCATGAGGAAGCGTTTAATTGTCGGCATGATAAACCGCCCCACCAGGCGGCGGTTAACCATGTGAAGACATAAACCGCTGTCCCAAGGCGCGGTTTTGCAAACTAAACCGTGGCCCCAAGGCGCGGTTTGTGCCTGGTCACCCGACATCAGACATGTAGTTGAGGGTAGAACGGGTGACAAATTCCTATTCGCCATAGAAGGGCGCTGGTCCGTGATATGCCACCTCGGTGCCGTGGTAGGTGGCCCCTCCGTGTGCGGTCGAGGACTATCCACGCTCATACGGTGGGGAGTGGACTGCCATTGTTGTTGCCATTGTTGTTGTGGTCGATGCAAAGGTGAGAAGTCTTGGTGGGGACTTGAGTATGAACCATCGACCCAAGTAGCTGAGGACGTGGCGTCATGAAATGTACTTGGCCCTTGTTCATATTGGAAACTGGGTCGGGGATTGTATTGGAAACTCGACTGGGGATCATACTGGCTTCCGGGCGTGGGGTCGTAGTGGGCACGGGGCGAGGATCATGTTGAGTACTGGGATCGTAGAAAGCACTTGGTCGGGGATCAAAGTGAAAACTCGACCGGGGATCATACTAAGTACTCGACCTTGCACCGCTACACACCTCCAATGGAGTAGGCACCTTCCACACCTCAATCGGCTTGATCTCCGACACATGAGGTCGATCCCTTGTAGCTTTGCTTGGCCTTCTATGGACCGCCGGAGGCACGTGGGGGACATCCTCCCTCACCGGCTGCGGTCTCAATGGGGGAACTGGCGGGTATCTATGATGGTCATGTCCGCGCGCTCTCATACAACCAAGGAGACTGTTCGCTATCCTTCGAATGATCTGCAATACGAGCGAGGTCGTGTATACGCTTGATGCCATCAACCTAAATCAAAGAAAATAACAACGTGAGCCATTTAAAAAGTAATGCACCGTATGCCTAAATAAATAAAAACTGAATTACTTACCAAAGCTCCGTCTGCCGCACCTTCGGGGGTCATGTAACGAACAGATTGTCTTCGGTATGTTTCCATGTATGGTTCATGGTAGCCCACTCGCCCCACATGAGATCCCGTCACAATATCCTGATCTTGCTTAACGTTCCACAGAGCGATCAATTCTCCATACCCCTCCGGCCAATTAGTAGCTCCTTGTCGACCATCTTTCCCGTGGTACCCCCTCTGACTCTCCGGGACATCCAATGGTAGGCATTGCTCATGTCCGAATTGTCGTAGACATCGATCCGGCAAGTACCACTCCACTATATGGTGGCAGATTAGTGGAACTCGGGTCCACCATTGACCGGGATGCAACGGGAACTTGTGGACGTGATGCGCGACAATGCGTTCTGGATACGGATCGAACTTAACCTACGAAGGTGCAGAAAAAATAGACCATTAAGAAACATAATAATATAAGTTGAAAAAAAATAGGAAGTAATAGTGTATTATGATGCTCACCTCTGCTTCCCAAAGGCGATCAAGCCTCCTACGATACTCCTCCAACTTATGCTCTCCTAGGTTGTCGCATGTTTTTTCACCAAGCCACCTATTCAATCCAAAAAGTACATCATGTTAATACATAATAGCTGGTTCGTTATGAAATACCCAATTAGTAAAAAAGGTGAGAACTATGAGTGGGCTAGAAAATATTTACCTACAACCATAAGCTTCATGTCGTAGGGGATGGTCGGGTCCACATTCCTTGTCGGGGTCTACCTTCGGCGCAATCCATGGCAAATGCTCCCAAACCCAAAATTGGACGATGAACATGGCCCCATCAATCTCCTTCACCGCTCTCGCACTAGCATTACAGAGGGATCGATAGAGATGAGCTAAGCAAGCAGATGCCCAGCTCAGGTTTCCTATATCATCCAAACTCCCAAGTATGATCTTCAACCATGAATTGCTGATTAAGTTGTTGGATTTCTTGGGGAAGAAAACTCCTCCGAGCACGTTGAGGATGTAGATACGTGCATAAATGTCTTTATCACGCTCTGAACTTCGTCCGTGAGGGGAATGCCTCCGGCAGGGTTGTGCTTACGGCTGATCTCCGCTGTCAACCACGTGATGGATACTTGGCCCTTGGACAATGGTGGATGACCATCCGCATCGTGATCTCCCTTTTCTGGCGGACACAACCAGGTGATCGTCCATATAAAATGCTGCCAACCACTCATATTGGAAACAACTTTAGGTGGTGGCGTAGAGTCTACACAAATAACATCACCATCGATAGGCAAATCGGTTAGGATGGCGAATTGACGATGTCCTTAAGTGTGATGGTGCACTCGCCTTCACGAAAATTGAAGCAGTGTGTCTCCATTCGCCATCTCTCTACCAATGCTGTGATGAGTTGGCGGTCCATCTTGATTCCATTAAAATGCCTAATCCAATCCAATCACGCCCTTTTTAGAAAGGGCAAGATGACATCGTTTCATTCAAGCACGTTCGTCGTGCCCCTATAGCGGACTATATGGTATGCATACCTAGAGAAGAATTTAACTTTCACTATAAGTTGATGATTTATACATATATAAATATATTATTTTTTGTACACATACACATAAAATCAAATATATTATTTTGTTAATCGTATTGATTATTTTCAATAATTTAAAGCAATACAAGTACACTCGTAAGACTGTTAGGAGAGGTATACATCTCCTTAGAAACACAGTCTTTTTGACAGAAAAAGGGGGGAATCCGAGGATCGCTTAGAACCCGATTTTCCCAGGTCATGGGGGATCATGATGATCGCTTAAGTCCCAATTTCATTAGACATGCATTTCTTTATAAAGAGTCTAAATAAGTGTTGTATTGTATTGATTTAAATTATTGAAAATAATCAATACGATTAACAATTAAGTAAACTATTGTACAAACAAATAAATTACTTTAACAAAATACAAATTACAAGTGATGATAAATAATATGTACCTTGTGGTCGTTCCAAACGTCTCTTGAACGATGATTGGCTTGATCGTATAAAATAGCCGGATCAATCGGTCCTTGATCAACATAATATCGTTGATTGTAAATATCAACATCCGGCCCAACCTACGATAGCATAACAACAACATAAATCAATTAGTATATAAATTAAATAAATCGTTATAACAACAACAATTGGATAAAATGAGTATGTACCGCTTGATAATCATCATAGTAAATGCCCTCTTCTTGGATAAAATCGGCCATTTTTCAGAATCCGGACAGAGATTCGACGGTTTTTTAGTGAAAACCAAAGAAAAAGTCTTTTGAAGGCAGATCGGACTTAGCCGCAACCAACAAATTAACTAATTCTAAGGTTTTTGGGTGGGGAGGGTGGTGGGTAGAGTGAAGAGTTAGAGAGAGGGGGGGGGGGGGAGAATGGGTTTGGTGTGCAGAAAATGGGAGGGGGAAGAGGGGTTTATATAGGGACGAAACCGCGTGCTGGAGGGGCGGTTTCATCATTTTACCCCACCAAAAACCGCACCTCCAGCGCGCGGTTTGCATTCCCCAACAGTCAAACCGCGCTTCGGGGGAGCGTTTTGACTGAGCAACGCGGATCGCTGAGCTGGCGCGCGCTTTGGCCGTCAGATCGCTTCCCCATCGTGCGGTTGCATGTACCGCCACGTGGCAACGCGGTTTGACAGCCAGGAAGGATCAAACTGCGCGTTCCACAGGCAGTTTGTCTCTAAGACGCGTTTTGGTTTATAACCGCGCCTTCGAGGTGCGTTTTGTGTGGAAGGGTGGTATTTTTTGAAAATTGTTGAGTATGGATAGTATTTTTGTAATTTTTTTATAGTAGTAGTTTTGGATTTTTTAATTGTTCTGTCTTGTCCGTTGTATGATGGAGGGGTCCGGATACAATAACAACACTATAAGTGTTATTATAGTAACAGCAGGAGTAAAAAAGGAAAACCAACAAAAAGTAATTAATTAAAATTAATTATAAATTTTCAATACCCAAATTCCCTCTATACGTCTCTCGATCTCATTCTTCTTCCTTATCGCCGACTCCGTCTCTCGATCTCCTTCTCCTCCCTTATCGCTGACGGATTCTCTCTCGTATCTCTCCTCTGCCACCGGCGAGATTGTTGTTACCCTCTCCGATTGGGACCGTTGGCCCTGGGGTCCAGCGCCGTGACGCCCTTCTCCTTCCTCCCCATCCGGTAGAGGGAGTGGTAGTCGTCGAGGCAGATGACGGTGGTGGTGTCGCTGATCAGGGTGTCGGAGTCCGGGTTCCCGCCCTTTGGCGGCTCGGCGACGCCTCCGAACACGCTGGTCAGCCGCCGCATGAACGTGCTCTTCCCGCACCTGGAGTCCGCCGCCAGGCCGATCACCACGGCTCTGTGAGGGCAAAACGCTTTATTTATTTATTTAATGGTCCTGAGGAGCAACCGGGCAGAAGGTGCCAAATGAGGGAAGTTGGTCCTGCAAAGTGAAGTTTTGCCTTTCCTCATGTTACATATCTATCTCTTTCTATGCGAAGCCAGTTTCTAAATTTCTTGCTAGGGAGTAATTATTATGGCTTTAATTAGGTCCCGAGTCCGACCAAACAAAGCAATCATGAGTACATGGGATGGTGGGTAGCCTTCTGTAGTTCTTCTGTGGTTTCATTTGCTTTAGAAGAATGAATTAGGTTTCTCCCCTTTGTTGCATAAAATTGATTGACTCACTAACTCGCTCACTTGACTCACTCCTCACCACATCACACATACGCAGTAACTCCAGCTCCTGGTCTAACGACTGGTTCCTGCAATAAGTGGGCAACCACCTCATAATTTCAACCGTGTTTTCTTTTTCTGTCCTTCACCGCATTTATTTTTGGTGGAGATGTATCGAAGGTATATCTTGGTCATTATAAAAGCAGGGGAACTGCCCTCTATAAAACATACTATAAAACACACCAAAAAACTTGTAATGTAAACTATAAATCTCCTCAAAAATACCAGAAAACGCATAAACAACACCACAAATGTTTCCAAAGCACACTAGAAACCTTCTAATGCAGGCCACAAATCCACTAAAACAAACGAGAAACACCACAAAACAAACCACAAGTCTTTCATAAGCACACCAGAAACCTCCTAATGCAGACTACAAACGTGATAAAAAAAAACCACAAAAAAAAATCAGAAACCTCCTAATGCATACCACAAATCCTCTGAAACAAACCAAAAACCCCACAAAGCAAACCACAACATTTGCGAAAGCACACCGGAAACCTCATAATGCAAACCACAAATACAGTAAATCAAACCACAAAAAAGCAAACCATAAACGTCCTAATGCAGACCACAAATATATTAAAACAAACCAGAAACCCCTCAATGCAAACCACAAAGTTTTTGAAAGCAAACCAGAAACTTCTCAATGCAAACCACAAACACGATAAAACAAACCAGAAATTTCTTAATGCAAACCATAAACACGATAAAGCAAACCACAAAAGGCATACGAAAATATGAGAAACCAAACCATAAATCTCACAATGCAGACCATAACATCCATGGTCGTTGACCGAACTCCGGTGAGCGTCAGTCAGCAGATTCCGACGCCGATAGGCATATTCTGGCCCCGATGACTAGATTTCGACGCCGGTAAGCATATTCCGACCACGATGAGCATATTCCGACGACAATGGCATATTCCGATGACAAAATAGCATATTCCGGTGACCGACGACCAATGTCAAAATTCCGGCGACCAAAATTTTGGGCCGAAAATAAAAATAATATTTTTATTTTTTTATATTATTATTTAAACATATTTTTCATAATGATAATTATACCCTTGTTTTGATTTTACACTAGGTCAACTCATCTAATAAAAAGTCATCACAACCCTAGCTTCCTATTGGTTGGAGACTAGTGTTGTTATAATAACAACACAAGGAGTGTTGTCATAGTATCTAGTACCATCACGAAGATATCTAAATCTAAAAAAAAGAAAAGAGGAGGATAGGAAAGAACCGGTTGTTATAATAACAACACAAGGAGTGTTGTCATAGTATCTAGTACCATCACGAAGATATCTAAATCTAAAGAAAAAGAAAAGAGGAGGATAGGAAAGAACCGTGGGCTACTGAGCCCAATAAGCCCAAAACGAGTTAGGAAAGTGCCGTGTAGACTGATTAACGCGCAGACGCGCCGGCCACCCAGGTTTTTTAGAACCGATCGCCGCCGTGGCAGCCGTCGTTGAAGACCCTTTATAAGGACGGACAACGGGATAAGGCAAAAGTAGAAGAGGAAGTTGGTCACGTTTTTCAGTAAATAAATACATAATAAGCGTCATAACGCCACGCCGATACATAAAATCCAAAACCCCGTTACTCTTTCTCTGAGTTTCTCTATTGATCTCTCACCGTCACTTTCTTTCTCTTCCCATACCGTATGATCCCGAACCTCTGCAACATCCCCTGATCAGCTCTCCTTCCACAGCAAATTCCTCATCTCTTTTCTCATTTTTTGGGGAAGCGAAGAAAACAGAGGGCAGCGATGGGCGATTTCGAATCTCTATCGGAAGCTACATCTGGAGCAATAGGATCGCTGCTCAGCACCACGATTTTGTATCCGCTTGATACCTGTAAGACCAAGTATCAGGCCGAGGTTCGCGCCCATGGCCAGCGCCGATACAGGTTTGAGCTCTTCCTCTCCCTCTCTCTCTGCTTCTTTTTTCTCTTTCGCCTTTGTGGTTGATCTGGGCGGCGGCGTCACTGTCTGAATCTTATTTTTTGGTCGATAGGTGTGACCTTGCCGTCTAGTTTCCGAATTGGGTCGATTCCGATACTTTGGTGTGGTTTCTTGGTGTAGAAACCATCAAAGAACTGCACTTTTGTTTTCTTTCTTTCTGGGTTTATTGAGTTTTTGGGTAAAAGGTTCTGGGTTTTAGCTTACTCTGTTGTCAAAGGGGATTGATTCGATTGAAATTCAACTAGCTCGTTGGTATGAGAATGGAAAGCTGGACATAGTTGAGACCTGTAACCTCATATCTCTCTGATGAATTTCCCCTGAAAATCGAGTTGGTTGGCTGCTTCTGGTTTTACAATGAATTTTCAATTCTTGAGCAGCGGAAGACTTCTTCTTGAGTCATGATTGAACAGCTGGAGATTTTGCCACCCTCACTTTGATGTTAAGTTTGTTGCTATCTTGGTTTTCATTTTGTCTGTTTATGGTTTTTTCCTTTTTCTTCTGTAGGCATCTATCAGATGTTCTATGGGAAGCAATATCAAATGGACAATTCCTGTCACTATACCAAGGTTTAGGAACAAAGAATCTCCAGTCCTTTATCTCGCAGTTCGTTTACTTCTATGGATACAGCTACTTCAAGAGATGGTACCTTGAAAAGAGCGGTTCCAAGAAGATCGGAACTAAGGCGAACTTGCTTGTTGCTGCTGCTGCAGGAGCATGCACTGCCATTGCCACACAGGTGAATCCGTCCCTCCATCATACGAGAAACAAAACGGCTTTCCGGTTTCGTTGTGTATATCATCTCATTGGTTTGGTTGTTATGTTGCATTAGTAGCCATTAGACACTGCCTCCTCGAGGATGCAGACCAGTGCATTTGGCAAGTCGAAAGGGCTTTGGGACACACTGACGGAAGGTGACTGGAGTAATGCATTTGATGGCCTCGGTATCTCTCTCTTGCTGACGTCGAACCCTGCAATTCAGGTTGGTGTGACTGGCTTCATTAAAGTGATTTTAAGGGTTGCTTGGATGTGGGAAATGTTCGATAGAAAAGTGATGGATTGTCACAAAGTTTATGGATTTGAAAGATGGATAGATTATAGCACCTATGGGTTATGTTTGGATGTTTGGACGGAAGTGCAGAATTAATAAATGGATTGTGACTAAAATGTAAATGAATTCAACATCAAAACATTCTCTAAGTGAATCTAGAGGAATGAATTCTCTAAAGCTTGTGCCTACTTGTTTGTGTGCAGTATACAGTGTTTGATCAGCTCAAACTGAAGCTTCTGAAGGGGAATCAAGCTAGTCTTTCTGCATTCACAGCATTTCTCTTGGGTGCATTGTCGAAGAGCATTGCTACCTGTTTAACTTATCCAGCAATCAGGTGCTTATGAACCCTCTTCTTTAAACTCCGGTTTCAAGTCCGTGGTCATCACGAGAGAGACGGGAATAAGCAAACTCGAGACCTGTTGTTATTTCAGATGCAAGGTGATGATTCAAGCTGCAGAGGCCGACGCGAACAATCACGATGATAATGATGATGATGATGCCGAGAAGAAGAAGAAAGCCAAGCGGAAGGCAAGCAAGACACTGTCAGGAGTCGTGTTTGCCATATGGCGGAAGGAAGGAGTGACAGGGTTCTTCAAAGGACTGCACGCTCAGATCTTGAAGACGGTGCTGAGCTCGGCTTTGCTTCTGATGATCAAGGAGAAGATCGCTGCCACAACTTGGGTTGTTCTACTTGCAATCAGAAGGTCACTCTTGGGTCAGTATGGTAGGCTAAAAAGTGCCTGAGGAAGAGCAAATTATGCCATGTAGTTGAGGGGGGGCTTTGATGCTTTGTACATATTCAATAGCTCTATGAGAAAGGCAGAAGCAATCCGAGTATAGTTTTCCAGGTTCAGTATCCACGAACACACACACAGCTGGAATCAGCTTTAGAGAATAAACTCTCTTTTCATTTAACCGAACCTCTTTTTGGAGGTTTTCTTCTTAGTTAAGAGGAATAATTTGACGCGTCTGAAACTGAGGCTGATTTTTGGAACTTTAGGACATTTTCATTGTTCTTGGTGTTAATTGTTTAATCTTGTTCGAACCCATTAGAATGCCAAGATACAACTTGCCATGCAATCATAAAATTAAATCAATACAAATTAAGGGTAGCATATAATTACTTTAATAGTTACAAATTAAGGGTAGCATATAATTACTTTAATAGTTAGGTTTTGAATAGTAGGTTTTGAATATAGTTTTGAAAAACGAACTTACCTCTCTATTATTTTTTATACACAAATGTAGATTTGCACAAATGACAAATGTACCTTTCAACTATAAACTTGTAACGAATGTGACCTTCTGTCAACTTTATCAATGACAGTTACAGAACATGTGATATGTCCAAATTGTTCTTTATTGTAGGCAAAATATACTTCTATAACCATAACTTTCATGTTTGTGACAAATATAGCCATAACTATAGGAAAACACAAAATAGCTCAAAAATTGGATAGTAGTGTGACAAATCTAGCCATTTCCATTAGAAACTTGAATGATGTTATAGACTCCATCAGTTCTGTTAGCGATACGCTGACTAGGACGCCAAATCAGCGTACACATCAGCGATAAATTAGTATCAAATGACACTAAGACAACACATCATATTTACTTAAAATATTTGATCATAAACAAAAAATTAAAAAAACAAAAAACAAAGGGCTAAATTGCAAGTTGGTCAATGAAATTACTAAAAAATTCATGTTTGTCACTAAAATTAATTTATTTCATCCGTGGTCACTAAAATTAGTTCAACAGTTCAAGTTTGGTCACTCTTTGTTAACTTTCGCTGATGTGGCAGTCAACTCTAATCGTTGACCGTTAAATGTGTGACGTGGCTATTAAAAATAACATAATAATAAAGTTTAATTATTTAAAATTTCCACCTCATTTTTACATTCATTAAAAAATAATTTAATTTAAAAAAATAGTTCTCCCCCGCAACAACGCGGACGACAATGGCGGCGGGTTCAGGCAGCCGAGGCAGGTTCTGGTTAGATTCAGCGCCATCGTCGGTAGGCGTCAATCATGTTCAGGGAGCCGCCTCGCCGTCGTAGTCACCTCCGCCACCTTAGCGGGCTGTGGTGATAACTAAATTCAGCACAGTTTCGCCGTAATTGAAGACCAAAAAAAAGGACGACCTATGGGTTCTCGATGACGATTACGACCCTCCGGCCGCTGCTTCTTCGTCATCCTCTCTCTTCAACTCTTACTCTTCCCAAAATTTATTAGGCTTGCTTCTTCCCTCGTGATTCATTCTTCTTCACCTCTCTCTCCCCCTCCCTTTTATTGTCCCAGACCATTCCCATACCCGGCCCTCTCGCTGATGGAATGGAATATCTTCGGTGAACTATCTTTCCTCTCGACAGTAACCGCCGGCAGAGTGACCCGCAGGTTTGATAACTAGCTCAGCTTAGCTCTCGTTGGTGTTAATTTTTTTGGAATGGCGTCTTCCTTCCATTTCTCCATCTTGGCACATCTACCGTTTCTCCAACCGTGAAAGGTGATCTGCTGCAACGTTTTCTGCTTCGTTCTTATCCCGGATCGCTATATCGAACTCTTGCAGAAGCAGGATCCAATAGATGAGGTAGGCTTGGCGTCAGTCTTTGTCATCAAGTAGCGGATAACCGAGTGGTCGGTATAGGCCATGACATGAGAAATCACCAAATACGGCCAGAACTTGTCTAAGGCATACACCACGACAAGAAGCTCCTTTTCGGTGGTGGTGTAGTTCTCCATAGCATCGTACAAGGTCTTCGATGCGTAGTAGATAGGCTGGAAGGGCTTATTGCGTCTCTGACCAAGAACAACTCCAATTGCATAATCACTCGCATCGCACATCAGCTCGAAGGGTAGAGACCAATCTAGAGTCACCATGATGGGTTCATGGGTAAGCTTCTGCTTCAAAGTCTCAATTGCAGTTGTGCACTCTGGAGTGAACTGGAATGGTGCGTCTTTCTCAAGCAGCTTGGTCAATTACATGGCAATCTTCGAGAAATCTTTGATGAAGCGTCGATAGAAGCATGCATGACCCAGAAGGCTGCGCATCCCCTTAACAGAAACAGGGGGAGGTAGTTTGTTGATTGTCTCTATCTTCGCTCGATCTACCTTGATCCCCTGCTTGGAGTTCTTGTGCCCGAGCATGATACCTTCACGAACCATGAAGTGGCACTTCTCCCAGCTAAGTACCAAGTTCGTCTCCTCACACCTCTTCGAAACAAGCTCTAGGTTATGGAGACAGTGTGAGAAGGAGTCTCCATAAACTGAGAAGTCATCCATGAAGAATTCCATAATTTCTCCAATTAGTCAGTCGAAGATGGCCAACTTACATCGCTGGAAGGTCGCCGACGCATTACAGAATCCAAAAGGAATCCATCGGTATGCGAAGGTGCCAAATGGACAGGTGAAGGTAGTCTTAGCCTGATCTCTAGTGCAATCGGAATCCGGAAGTACCCAGATATACCATCCAGAAAGCAGAATAACTCATGCCCCGCCAGCCTCTCCAGCATCTGGTCAATGAAAGGCAGCGGAAAATGGTCCTTCCTGGTGGCGTTGTTCAGGCGCCGGTAGTCGATGCAGACTCTCCAACTAGTCACGATCCACATCAGGATCAGCTCGTTCTTCTCTTTTGGGACCACCGTCATCCCGCCTTTCTTTGGAACCACGTGAGTGGGACAGACCCACTTGCTATCAGATATAGCGTAGATGATACCTCCATCCATTAGCTTCACGATCTCTTCCCGGACCATTGCCTCCAAGTTCAGAGTCAACCTCCATTGTGGCTGCCGGACTGGCTTAAACTCATCCTCCATCAGAATTCTGTGAGAGCAGAAGGATGGGATAATGCCTTTGATGTATGTGATCTTCCATAGACCCACCAGACTGCTCTTTTGCTTGGGGGTCAGTTCCGAGTTGATGATGATGGGGAGCTTATTCCCCTCCTGGAGAAATGCGTACTCCATATGAGAAGGGAGGGATTTTAGCTCGAGCTTTGGTGGCTCCTCCAGTGAGGTAGTGATCCGGGGCGAGACATGGATCGGCTTGAACGACCTCTCTCACCCCTCTACCTCGGTATTCTCCAGCTTTGCGAGCTGCTCTTTCAGATGCAACTCCTGTGATGCATGTTCCCCTAGCACAAGACAACGCTCGCGGATATAGGCAGTCTCTTCTTCTCGTCATTGGTTTCTATCTGGCAAATTGATGGTGCGCACCGCCCATCAATTTGGGGGAGGGTATTAATGTATGTACGTGTCCTATGAGGTTATATTCTACATACAGTATTTTAGTACAGTAGAGTTAGAGTTAGGGTTAGCCGAACCCTATATATATTTTTTGTTTGGCTGTGTAATAGGGTAAGGATTCTATAGACGATAATACGATTGACTGAGAGTTGGTTGCTCTCCGTGGAGTAGTCTTGTTCACATCGAACAGGGAAACCACGTAAATCCTATGTCTTCTTATGTTTACATGATTTTCGTGGTTGATTGACACAACGACTCTTCTTTGGCTTGTGGTTTTCGTTTCATGTTTTCAATCGAATCAGGGAAGTCTCGAGCACTCAGAGGCGGGTCAGATTGGAATTGATTGGGAGGCGAGACGACCCAAGGTGAAGCGAGGCGGGGGAGCAGGAGGAGTAATGGTGGTGGTCGAATTTGGGGGATATCGGGTTTCTGAGGAAGACTCAGAGATAGTCGAATAAGGATATATCGGGTTTCAGAGCAAAGGAAATTGAGTGTTGAAGAACTCGATCAAAACGATGGACTAAGAAACTGATTTCACTGGAAGGACGATGCAAAAAGGAAGCTGAGTCGAGAAGATGCTTCACATTCCTTAAACTCGAAAGTAAAAAGAAACTGATTAATAACATAGACATCAGAGAAGTAAATCTGGGAAATTTGGGTTGACACCGTAATTTATGATTTTTCTTATTATTTTAATTAATTATGACGTGGCGATGAAGAGTTGATATGGAGGCTGATGTGGCATCCACATCAGCATAACACTCACGTTACTGATGGAATCACTAATGATGTTATCTACAAATAAATATAAGGGAATGTCAACAAAAAATTTATGCCACATCAGCCAGTGCTCTTCATCCTCTGTAATTCGGATGGGTATTAACGTATTTGTACTTGGACTACAAAACGGATTTAGTTGCTAAAATAATGGGGAGAGATTAGTTAGGAATAAATGGGGAGAAAAGGGACATAATATCTGGGGAGAGAATGGCCACGAAAGAGGGAGAAACCCAATATAATTAAACTAGAGCAGGGCACGGCTCGTTGGCCAGATAGGTTTCAGTGTTTGCGAAATCATATCGTATTGGTGATTCGACCAAAAAACTTTTTGCTCAAGCTAAAGCTAGTATTAGATTTTTTTATTTTTGAATGAAATGGTTTCACCACGATTTAACTAAAAAATATCATACCATTGACTTATTTAGTACAACCTCAAGTACGATTTTACAATCCTTGATAAATTTAGATTTTTTGTATATCTACATTGAGCATTGTGTTACAACTATTGCATACACATTTGGTAGATCATAGTGAGTTACTGATGAAATGGGAACCGTAGAGGGTTTCTCGATAAATGATATTGTAATAAAGTACAATTAGATTTTAGGAAATGCAGAGTTGACACGTTGCATAATCATCGACAATACTAAGATGACAATGAACTGCATCCTTTTGGTGATCATGCCACACGTAAATATGAGACGAAGTCATGAACAATGTAGTAATTTCCCTGCAGGAGTCACAAAATTATTAGCCCTTATTGTGCAAGTGAGGTTGCTATAATATTTTCCTAACATCACAAATATAATGAAATGAGCTAAGTTTGATACATATTTAGCCTTAGAAAATGCTGAGTGTTCTAAATGATGGGAATAAGAACTTATATGTTCATAAATATGTATATTATTATTTTTTTGTTGGATCATATATGCATAACTTCAAATGGTACGATAGTTTATTAAAAGCTTGTAAGCTGCAAGAGATAGAAGCACATATGTAATGAGATAGACTGAGAGGTTGAGATGAGTACATATGCATATATATGAGATTGCTAAAATGTGTATAGTTCTTCCGTAGAGCAAGGTTTTTTTTTTTTTAGAAATGGAGCAAGGTTGTGCTACATGTTTTTCAATGTATACAAACACATAGGGGTGGAAATTGGGGTGGGTGTGGTTATCCGCCCCACATTTTGCGAGTATCCACACCTACAAATTTATAATTATGCTACCCACAACCTGCACCGCAGTGATTAGTGGGTAACCACTACCCACTGTGGGTTTGTGCGGGTTGGGTGTGGTTACCCACAAAAATCCATCTTTGCAAGCATAGAGTTCAAGTCGCCACTAACATATTTGTTACGTTGTTCGTAGCTAGACTATAGTGATATACATGACTTGTGTTCGTGGAGATACAATTTTGTACATCGATACTCAACGTGGAGAATTTTTCTTTTTGAGTTTGTATTCAACTTTTGTGTCAGAGAGCTGTGATTTCATATTTCCCCGACTAGGGGTGAAATATGACAATCAAATATGATCTTGTATTTTTTCACACAAAAACAAAAACATACTAATAAAAGTTACAAAATGTGTTCACTTTTAATGAATTGATTATTCTCCACTCTATCGATTATAGTGTTTTATAAACTAAAAAATTCTTACACAAAACTGATTAGATGTGTCTTTTTTATTTGGTGGCTACTTTAATTTTTATCCTTGCACTTTTCACATACTATTATATTATAAAGTTAATTCACTAAATAAATATAATTAGTGTGGTTATTGTGGATTTTGTGGGTTAACCGCGATGGGTAGTGGATAACCACTAACCACAAAAATTGTTATTTTACTACCCAC